ACATTTATAGTAGGGTATTCTTCAAAAGTAATACATGTACAGTAGACCATCAAACATATTATATTATAGTTATAGAAGACCTCCTGAGGTCCTCTCCCTACAAAAGATCTTCAGAGGACTTTTATTTATAGACGACCCTCAGAGGTCTTCTATGTATATGAGACCTTCAGAAGTTTATATAAGACCACCCGAAGTCTTCTATTTATCGAAGATCCTCAGTGGATTTATATTTATAAAAATCTAAAAGTCTGGAACACCTTAAGAAGTATTTTTTATATAAGACCTTCAGAGCTCTTGTTGTACAGTTAAGATCAGAGGGAGAATACCTTTTCTATAAATAGAAGACCTTAAATAAGACTTATATTTATAGGAAACTCTCAGAAGAATATTATCTATACAATTCATTCAGAAGTATTCTCCCTTTACAATACCTTTAGAGGTTTTCTCCCTACAGAAGACCTTCAAATAAGGTCTTTTTACAGAACAACCTCAGAGGTCTTCTATTTAAAGAAGATCATCAGAGGTCCTCCATCTACAGAAGATTATTAGATTATTATTTATAGACGAATTTTGGAGGTTCTATATTTATAGAAGATCTGCAAAGATTTTCAATTTATAGAATAGCTTCTGAAGTCTTCTGGCATTTAGAAACCTTCTGATATTTTATGACCTTAGAACACCTTCTGGGCCATTTATGTACCGACGATTTTTTCTGATCCGATGTCTATGGAAGACGCCATAAGTCATTTTGTCCTGATTTCCTGAAATAATCTATTTATAGGCGACCTAAAAATGTAATCAATAAATATAGATAATCTCAAAAGGACTTATTTAACCAAAATATCTTAGAATTCGTCTGTTTACAGAAAATCATATGAAGCCTTCTATCTACGGTAGAGATCTTGAGGGGTTCTGTCTACTAAGAATTTTTTCCTCTTGAGGTCTTCTGTTTCTAGGAAATTCCCAGAGATCATCTATCCCGAAAAGGCCGAAGATCTCAGAAAAAACTTCGATAGACAGAATACCACAGAGGTCGGAGAATTTTCTGATCGTTTCTATATATCAAAAACTTCAGAAAATTATCTTCTTGAGGTCTTCTGTCTGTAGCAGATCTCTTGAAGACTTCTACTTATGAAAGATTTTTTCTGTCTAAGAAATCTTCTCGAGTTCATCTGCAGTTAAAATACATTTTGAGATCTTCTATATCTGGGTAATTCACAAATAAAAGACCTCCTAAGGTCTTGTGTCTTTAGAAGATAGCAAGAGATTTTTAGAGGCTCTCTTAAGCATTCGATGTAATAAATATTTCATGAGGTCTTCAGATGCATCAGATGTCCTCTTTGGTGTTCTATTCTTCAGAAATCTTATTTATACTTAAGCCTTCTATGGACTACCGTCAGTGCAAGTTCTTTTTGCTATAATCAGTGTCCTGAGGTCTTCTATCTGTAGGAGAGGTTTTGAAGTTTTTTGGTGTCTAAAAATTCACCAGAACTCAAAATGTGGTCTCCAGTGACTTTATGTCTTTAGAAGACAGAGCCGAAGTTTTCTTAAAATCTGACTTTTTCTTGATCTAAGTTGGCAGGAGATTTTCAGGGACCCTCATCGAGCTTCAGTATATTAACCATTTCTTAAAGTTTTCTATACTTAGAAGACCTCCTGAAATCTTCCGTGTATAGAAACCTCATGTGGTATCCTATTTATAAAAGCTGTGTAGAAGATGTCTTGACGTATTCTATTTATAGAAGAGGTTCCGAGATCTCATCAACCTATAGAATATCTTCCAGGTCTCTTAGCTTTAGAGGACCTCATATATATTACATATCTCTTGGACCAAAAGGCCTTCCGAAGTCTTCTGTCTATAGAAAGTTTCTGTAGACGGAAGTCTACAGAACACCTTATAAGTTCTATGGATCTTGGAAAGTAGTCATCATTTCATGTAAGCCTGCCTCCCATGTCATTTACACAACACCTACTAACCGCCACCACTCAAACATCTGCTTCACAAAAACTACCCAAACGCCAAAAAATATCTCCAAAATCCCAATACAATTCAAAACCAACATCAGTAACAATAGAAAACTAATCAAAAATAAAACAACTAACCTCAAAATTCATGCGTTTGTTTGTTCGTTTATACGTTCGCCAGCCCACCAGCTACAAAAATTAAACAAAAAAATATCGTTCGTTCGCTCGCTCGCTCGTTCGTTTGTTTTTACTAAAAAGAAAACAATAACAAACAAACTTCACAATTCGTTGTTTTGTTCGTTCGTTCAAATCATTCCAAATCCATGTGTGATTCTTTATCGATACATTCCATTTTATCCATGTTTGTCCGATTGTTTGTTTGCTTTCTATTCTTCCATGATGATTTATTTATTTATTGCTGTTGTTTGTATACGTTTGAATTTTTAATTTTTTGATTTTCTATTTTTGTTTCTTTTTTATTGTTTCGATTTTTTTATTGAAGGCGAAGAAGAAAATCTATGAATAAAATGTTATTGTGCATCCCCAAAGACACAACTGACAAAGACACACATAAACATAAACACAACCACAGCCACAACACCTCTAGGTATGAGTTTTTCCTTTCCGATTTTTTCTTTGGTTTGGCTAAATTGCATTCTTCTTCTTTGTTCTGGTTTCCTGAATTTTTTGTCAATGCTCTTTGGTTTCCGGCTTACTAGGTTTTATTGATACGCTTCAAGTAGAGATTTTGGCTTTGATTTATTTATTGTTACATATATATTTTTTTTATTGATTTTATTTGACGAATATAAAAATCGTTGTGAAAACATGACAAGGGGGCGTATGATTTACGCCACATCGGCGTCAATGATTATTACGTTAATCATACGCTACATTACACCACAATCGCCCCTTTATATTGAATTTTCAGAATTAAGACTTTTATTAACAGATATCCTTCAAAGGTCACCTAAATATATACAATACATAGGTCTAAACCTTTATGTTTTAATTAGATGACCTCAATCATTCCTTTTAAAAAATATTCACAGGACTGGCTTTTTTTTATAGAAAAAAATCGCTGGCCCAGGACTGTTTTTTTTTTCTATAGAAAACAAATCTACATGACTGGCTTTTTACTATTCACAGGCCACAGGACTGGCTTTTTTCTATAGAAAAAAATTCACAGGCCACAGGACTGGCTTTTTTTCTATAGAAAAAAATTCACAGGCCACAGGACTGGCTTTTTTTCTATAGAAAAAAATTCACAGGCCACAGGACTGGCTTTTTTCTATAGAAAAAAATTCACAGGCCACAGGACTGGCTTTTTTTCTATAGAAAAAAATTCACAGGCCACAGGACTGGCTTTTTTTCTATAGAAAAAAATTCACAGGCCACAGGACTGGCTTTTTTTTCTATAGAAAAAAATTCACAGGCCACAGGACTGGCTTTTTTTCTATAGAAAAAAATTCACAGGCCACAGGACTGGCTTTTTTTCTATAGAAAAAAATTCACAGGCCACAGGACTGGCTTTTTTTCTATAGAAAAAAATTCACAGGCCACAGGACTGGCTTTTTTTCTATAGAAAAAAATTCACAGGCCACAGGACTGGCTTTTTTTCTATAGAAAAAAAATTCACAGGCCACAGGACTGGTTTTTTTCTATAGAAAAAAAATCACAGGCTTTTTTCTATAGAAAAAATTCACAGGCCACAGGACTGGCTTTTTTTCTATAGAAAAAAATTCACAGGCCACAGGACTGGCTTTTTTTCTATAGAAAAAAATTCACAGGCCACAGGACTGGCTTTTTTCTATAGAAAAAAATTCACAGGCCACAGGACTGGCTTTTTTTCTACAGAAAAAAATTCACAGGCCACAGGACTGGCTTTTTTTCTATAGAAAAAAAATTCACAGGCCACAGGACTGGCTTTTTTTCTATAGAAAAAAATTCACAGGCCACAGGACTGGCTTTTTTTCTATAGAAAAAAAATTCACAGGCCACAGGACTGGTTTTTTTTCTATAGAAAAAAATTCACAGGCCACAGGACTGGTTTTTTTTCTATAGAAAAAAATTCACAGGCCACAGGACTGGTTTTTTTTCTATAGAAAAAAATTCACAGGCCACAGGACTGGCTTTTTTTCTATAGAAAAAAATTCACAGGCCACAGGACTGGCTTTTTTTCTATAGAAAAAAATTCACAGGCCACAGGACTGGCTTTTTTTCTATAGAAAAAAATTCACAGGCCACAGGACTGGCTTTTTTTCTATAGAAAAAAATTCACAGACCACAGGACTGGCTTTTTTCTGAAGAAAAAAATTCACAGGCCACAGGACTGGCATTTTTTCTATTGTCTATGACCGCAGGACAGAGTTTTTTCTATAAGAAAATTCTCTGACCCCAGGACAGAGTTTTGTTTTCTGTAGAAAAAAATCTATGGACCCCAGCACAGAGTTTAGTTTTCTGTAGAAAAAAAACTATGGACCCCAGGACAGAGTTATTTTCTATAGAAAAAAATCTATGGACACGAAAAAAGAGTTTTTTCTATAGAAAAAGTCTATGCACGCCAGAAAAGTTTTTTCTATAGAAAGAAATTCTCTGACACCAGGACAGAATTTTTTCTATAGAAAAAAATTATTTATTTGCTATACATTTATTTTAAATGTTCGCAGAAAAATTAAGTTTTTGCTTTAATTTTTAAAACCAAATACGTAGTTTTCCATTAAAACTTTATTGTTATTTCAAAAAAATTTATGGCCTTAGTTACTATTTCCGCTCCCTTAGATGTTCCAATTTGTTTTTATATAAAAAAAGTTTTAAATATTTTCCTGTTTCCTGTTGTTTCCAGTTTTTTATTAAAGCGTTAAACCAAATCAAAAAATATTTTTATATGACATTGATGATTATGAAAACAAAAACAAAAAAACAGCTTCTGTCGTTTGTGTTCGATATATTCTATTCCAGGCTACAACTAACACACATACATACATATCTCTTTCTCTCTCCGTCTCTTTTGTGTATGTTTCACCATTTTATAGCATCGTTAAAGGATTTCCTCCGGTATCACCGTTTATTGGTGTTAGTCCTACGCTTTGTTATTTGCTCAAGGAGAAGAAACCGTTATGCTGTTTGCAGTTAGCACAGGTGAGTCGTTGTTGTCCTTCAGCTGAAGGTCCTTTCGCTAAATATCTAAATATGCATAAAAATAGACTGATAAATATCGATGTTGTCATAAATATGCGCATAGTTGGTTTCTTGTTATGAAATATTGATTTTAATTTTCCCTCTGCTGCTTTTCCTCCCTCTCAGGTCTGTGAACATTGTAGCTATCGCAATGCCAAAGAGTATCAATGGCAAAATAAAACCATTATTTTGGCTGCCGATTATGCCTCAAATGGAATATACAATTTCATTATCCCTCTGAGGGCTCACTTCCGTTCCAAGACCTCATTGAATCCGATCATTTTGTTGCTGGAACGACGACCGGATGTGGCATTTTTAGATGCTTTATCATATTTTCCTTTGGTAAGTTTTAAAATAACAACAAAAACAAAAAGAAAACAACCAAAAAATTCAAATAATATCCTTTTATAAAGGATAATGTGGAGGATATTTAAATTTATGTAAATCTTTTTTGGTTTATTTTCTACTTCGTTAAAGGTTTATTGGATGTTGGGCTCCATTGATTGCCTGGATGATTTGCTAAGGGCCGGCATAACATTGGCCGAAAGTGTGGTGGTTGTAAATAAGGAACTGTCAAATTCAGCCGAAGAAGATTCGCTGTCGGATTGTAATACCATTGTGGCCGTTCAAACTATGTTCAAGTAAAATTAAAAAAAAAAACAATATTTTAATTCAAACATTTAAAAATTGAAACATCACAGATCAAATGACTGTATTTTTTCCTATAGGGAAAATTCACTGACCACAGGACTTGGTTTTTCCTATCGAAAAAATCACAGGCCACAGGATTGGCTTTTTCCCATAGACAAAAAATTTTCAGACCACAGGACTGGTTTTTTTTCCATGGGAAATAAATTGTCAGCTTTTCTCCTATATGAAAATGCTCACAGGCTATACGAGAAAAAATCTGCCTCGATATATTTTTTCTATGGGTCTTAATATTATTTTCCATAGAAAAAACAACTCAGTCCTGGGGTCTGAACATTTTTTTCCTATAGAAAAATCAGTAAATCAAAAAAAATCAGTCTAGGGGCTTGAGAATTTGTTTCTATAGAAAAAACTCAGTCCTGGGGTCTGAGAATTGTTTTCTACAGAAAAAACTCAGTCCTGGGTTCTGAGATAGAAAAGAACTCAGTCCATTGGTCTGAGAATTTTTTGCTATAGAAAAAATTCAGTCCAGGGGTTTGAGATTTTTTTCTATAGAAAAAAATTCAGTCCAGGGGTCTTAAGAATTGTTTTCTATAAAAAACTAAGCCTAGAGGTCTGAAGAATTATTTTCTTTAGAAAAAACTCAGTCCAGGGGTCTGAGAATCTTTTTCTTTAGAAAAAAACCCAGTCCAGGTGTCTCAGAATTTTTTTCTATAAGAAAAAACTCAGTCTAGGGGTCTGAGAATTTTTTTCTATAGTAAAAGAACTCAGTCCTGGTCTCTGATAATTTTTTTTTCTATAGAAAAAAGCTTTGTCCTGTAGTCAAATTTTTTTCAGAACCTTCAACAATTTCTAGTATTTCTGTATGTCTCTTCATAGATTCTTTCCCAGCATCAAAAGTATTACAGAGCTGTCGCAAAGTTCCAATATGCGTTTCATGCAATTTAGAGCCCATGACAAATATGCTTTACATTTAAGTAAAATGGAAAAGGTAAGACTGCCCCGCCCTTGTCAGGACACATCATATGAATAACATATTTATTTATTTTTCACTTTCCCCTCTCTCTCCCGACTCCCCATAGCGTGAAAAAGAACGCGGCTCCCACATATCGTACATGTTCCGTTTGCCATTTGCGGCTGGTGCCGTTTTCAGTGCCTCCATGTTGGATACGTTACTCTATCAGGCCTTTGTTAAAGATTATGTTATAACATTCGTGCGTTTGCTGCTCGGCATTGATCAGGCACCGGGCAGTGGGTTTTTGACATCGGTAGGTTTTAACAGAACCCACAAGGGAGCCACGCAATTTACTAATGTGTCTCCTTCGTTACAGATGCGCATCACCAAAGAGGACATGTGGATACGCACCTATGGCCGTCTGTATCAGAAATTATGTTCGACCACGTGTGAAATACCCATTGGCATCTATCGTACTCAGGACACTTCCAATACGGAAGCAACACATGTGAGTAATTCACCTGTAGACAAATGGGGACCATTTTCAGCTTTCGGAAAGCACTGTGTGCGCCTGCGACCATCGGTGAGTCCAAGTTTAAAGATGTTATGATGTGCGAGTCACACTATTAGTTTGTGTCTCTTCAACACACTCTCTCACTCTCACATACACACATACATCCACAAAAATTATACATACATACTGCAAAACACTCTCTCACACACATACACACACTAAAGACTTACTAATACGTAACTTAAACAACAGTACTAGCAAAATTAGTCACCATCACTACTAACTTGTTTTTGGATCAAACTCACACACATACACCCAGAACATACATACTACAAAACTTTCGTTTTTTCTCTCTCTCTCTATCTCGCCAAATTAATCGACACCTACTTTGTTATTAGAATTTTATTTTTTTCTCTCTCTTGCTCTCTCTCCTTTTTATACTATCTTGCTCACTTCAAATGCCTTAACATAATCCGCATAGCCACATAATAAACTAGGATTGTATATTTTCGAAATTATCTAATTAGTGGCAAACGTAACGTAAAGTAATGAAATAGTTTGTTAGAGTTTGTCCACTCTGGTTTTAATAATTCCACCTTATTTTTCTCTCAATCTCTAAGTAGTTTTATCTAAATCTACATCGTCTAGTTCTGAATTGTAAGTAAAATGTAAGGACATGTTTTAGAACTCATTCATTTTAATTGGAATTTTTATAAAAATTATTTATTTTGGTTTTGTTTTTCTTTCAATTAAACCGAGATTTTTTATGCATGCTTTTCTTATTTTTATTAACACTAATTTTACTTAATATTTTATTAAAACATTTTTTATATAATATATTTTTTAACCAACGGATCACGTAGTGTAGATTTTGGCCCATATTTTTCAAAGTCCAATACATATTTTCTTCAGGGACATCGAAACGGCTAAGCCTATACTTTTAAAATATATATAAAATATTCAAGGACCAATATACAGTTAGGACCAGATATGTTCCATATTTTTTCAAGCACTTACGGACCAATAAGCTTATATTTAAAATAACTTTTTTTAAGGGCCATAAAACTAATAATAGTATATTTTTAAATAATATATTTTAAGCAAAGACCACTAAGCTTGAATTTTAAAAGAAAAATATTTTTTCAAGGTCATATAGACCACTAACCTTAGGTTTTAAAAGAATATACTTTAAAGGACCAAAAGGCCACTATAGGATAACTTCTCCGGATAACGTATAACTTCTCCAAAGACAAATATTTAATATTGTATTGAGGCCTGTAAATTTTTTCAATAGAAAAAACACCGAGTCATGGTCTGTGAATTTTTTTTTCTATAGAAAAAAATGACAGTCCTGTGGTCTGTGTGATTTTTTTTTCTATAGAAAAAAAGACAGTCCTGTGGTCTGTGTGAATTTTTTTCTATAGAAAAAAAGATAGTCCTGTAGTCTGTGAATTTTTTTCTATAGAAAAAAAGACAGTCTGTGGTCTGTGATTTTTTTTCTATAGAAAAAAAGACTGTCCTCTGGTCTGTGAATTTTTTTCTATAGAAAAAAAGACAGTCCTGTGGTCTGTGAATTTTTTTCTATAGAAAAAAAGACAGTCCTGTGGTCTGTGAATTTTTTTCTATAGAAAAAAAGACAGTCCTGTGGTCTGTGAATTTTTTGAAGAATATTTTTCAATGACCAATAGGAACGATAGTCCTTAAGCCTGTGAATTTTTTCAGTCAGTTCTGAGGCCTGTGTTTTTTTTTCTATAGAAAAAAGGCAGTCCTTAGGTCAGTAATTTTTTTTCTATAGAAAAAATGACTTCCTGTGAATTTTTTCTGTCCTGACTCCTGTGAATTTTTTCTGTAGAAATCAGCGCATTGACCTATAATGGGTGTAATTTTTTTCTGTAGAAAAAAGCACCCGGTTCTGCGTCCTGTGATTTTTTTCTATAAAAAAGCAGTTCTATAGTTTTATCACTATTCTGTAAACTTCCGTTCTAAGACTTTCAATTTTTCTAGGCAGTCCACAGTGCTGTGTTGTTTTTTTTTTTATATAGAAAAACTCGGTTCTATGAAGGCTTCCCTTATGCGTGTGGTTTTTTTATAAACATGTCAGTAAGAGTTCTGCTAGTTTCTTTTTCTATAGAAACATGTTAGTCCTTTGTATTTTTTATAAAAAAAAGTCCAGGGGTATACGATTTTGGTCCTGTGATTTTTTTCTAGACCCAGTTCAGAGGTCTTGTGATTTTTTACGATTAAAAATACAGCCCTGAGGTCCTCTTATCTTCCTATAGAATAGATAGATAAAACGGGCTGTTACGATCCGCGGTATTTATTCTATAGGAAATGCTCAATTCTGAAGTTTTTATAAAAATCTGTCGGCAACCGAAAAAATAGAGACATGAACATTTTCTATGGAAACTGAGGCCAGACCAAGATCTTATAGATATGTTATAGGATTTTTCTTCTACATATTTAATGATTTTCCAGCACATTATGGTCTAGATCACATATCTCAATATTACAGTTCTTAAACCTTTAGCTACATTTTAGATATTCCTACGTGTATTTATTTTTACATTTTTTTATCAACTTTTCCAACAAGATTATTTAATACTGTTTATCCTTTATTTTCTTAAATTTCGTTATTTTTTCTCTTTAAACATCAATTATACAATCTGTTATCTTATCGTTTTATATTATAAACAACATTGTTATAATTTTCTTCTCTATTTATCTTGGTTCTTCCTTTTTTCTTCGTCAATAAAAAATACTTTTTCTATGTCCTTGCATTTTATGGTTATCCAAGTTACCTTCATACGTACATGCATACTGAACTTCTAGGAAAATATATATCCTGTCATACAAAATAAAAACAAGAACAGACAACAGAGAAAACAATTTAATTGATCAACTGCTACAACAATGTAGTTTTAGTTTCAGTTTTAGTTCCAACAATTAGAACAGACAATATCTCAATAGTTTTTTCTTCTCAAATAAAATTCCTCCATAAACTTTTTTGTTATATAAAACGAAATTCAATAGACGGCAGATAATAATTTAATACCACTCTGTAGCTGTACAAGGATATTGATTTTAATTCCTTCTCCTAGTTAGAAAATCCTATAGTATAGTTTTATTAAGTCTTCTCACCTACATATTTACTTGTATTGGCTCTATATTTTTATTATTAAATTAAACTACTCATTGCAATTGGATTTTAATAATAGAGAATATTCAATTTATTTTCTTCTGCAAACAAAATGTAAACATGAACATTGAAAGTTTTTTTTATTCATTTTTGTAAACTGTAAAAATACCAAAGAAGTGTACATTCCACTCTACTTCACTCCACGTTGGCTTATGAAATGTTTTGCTTCTCTTTTTCTACTCTTCTTCTTCTTCCTTTATCTTTAAATTACAAATAAACAATATCTTTGGCTTTAATTGCTTATGAAACTTCATATATCCAGGAATGATAAGTTATGGAAGAAAAATGTGTGTCTGCGTCTCCTAAGGAGTCTTTAAATCGTTGAAGGTTTATTTTTTCCTAGAAATAATAGAGATATAGGGAAACAATAATAAGTTATAAGTAATGGCTTCAATAATCACATACATTTTTTCAAAAAAAATGCAGATACAGGACAATATTATTGCTAAGGAGAGTCCTTAATACAGTTTTTTTATAAAAGAAAGGACTCAAGGACTCTATAGAAAAAAATCACAGACCTACGCAAAGCCTTTTCTTCTATAAAAAATCACAGGTCTCAAGACTGTCTATAGAAAAAAAAATTGTAGACCTTAGAACTGTATTTTGTCTATAGAAGTCTTGTGACTCAGGGCTGACTTTTTTTCTAAAGAAAAAACAATCACCGGCTTCAGCTATGTCTTTTTTCTTTAGAAATAAATCACATGGCTCAGGACTGTCTTTTTTCTATAGAAAATTCACAGGCCTCAGGAATGTATTTTTATAAAAAAAAAATCCACAGACCCCAGTACTGTCTTCTTTCTATAGAAGAAATCATAGGCCCCAGAACTGCACTTTTTTCTACAGAGAAAAATTAACATGCCTCATGACTGACTTTTTTCTATAGAAACAAATTCACGGGCCTAGGACTGATTTTTTTCTGTAGAAAAAAATTCATAGGAATCAGAACTGTATTTTTCTATAGAAAAAAATTCACAAACCTCAGTTCTGTCTTTTTTATAAAAAAAATCACGGTTCTCAGAACTTTTTTTCTATAAAAAAATGTACACACAATTTCTATATAGGCAAATCGCATGCCTTAGAACTGTTTTTTTTTTCAATAGTAAAAAAAAATCACAGGCCACAGGACTGCCTTTTTCTATAGAAAAAATTCACTGGTCTCAGGACTGTCTTTTTTCTATAGAAAAAATTCAGAGGCCTCTGGAATGTCTTTTTATTTTGAAAAATTGACAAGTCTCTATAGAAAAAATTCGCAGGCCTTAGAACTGTCTTTTTTCTATAAAAAATGCGCTGGACACAGGAATGTATTTTTCTATAGAAAAAAATTCACAAACCTCAGTTCTGTCTTTTTTATAAAAAAATCACGGTTCTCAGAACTTTTTTTCTATAAAAAAATATACACACAATTTCTATATAAGCAAATCGCATGCCTTAGAACTGTTTTTTTTTTCAATAGTAAAAAAAATCACAGGCCACAGGACTGCCTTTTTCTATAGAAAACATTCACTGGTCTCAGGACTGTCTTTTTTCTATAGAAAAAATTCAGAGGCCTCTGGAATGTCTTTTTATTTTGAAAAATTGACAAGTCTCTATAGAAAAAATTCGCAGGCCTTAGGACTGTCTTTTTTCTATAAAAAATGCGCAGGCCACAGGAATGTATTTTTCTATAGAAAAAAATGCATAGGACTCAGGACTGCATATTTTCTATAAAAAATGCGCACAGTAATGTATTTTTCTATAGAAAAAATCACAGGCCCCAGGACTGTCGTTTTTCTATAGAAAAAAATTCATAGGCCTCAGT